CATAGGCCTTTTCTGAAATAGCATGACGCTTTGCATCGTGGTCTAGATTCGGTACAAACATCTTTTGTTCATGTGGCCAAATATGGTGTTGTTTGTACTGAAACTAGACCACAATGCACCATGATTTCGTATCTCAGAAAAGGTCTATGGCAGTGGAAAGGCCTTTTCTTCTAGTTCCGTGTGCCTGAAGGTGAGATCTCTCTAGCGGACATGGCCTATGGTCAACAGCGGAGATGATTTTCCTATCGGCCTGTTGGCGACGAATAGTAGATAGTAGCCTCTTTATCACGATTTTCTGAGACACGAGCAGGATATCCTCGTAGATACACTCTCGGGTGGCAACCTCAGACCAGTGGATGTTTTAGATCGGTATCAACAAGTTAGTAAAAGTTACATCTAGGCTCAATTGACTCAATTAGCGTCCGTAGAATACATTCATTGACTCTGAACCATTATCTGCGACAGTCGTACTTATAATCATTCACTAATGTCTTGTCTCAAAAAATAAGTCAAATATGATGTTTCCTCTGTGTGCTCACGCTCACGTTTCCTTATAAAAAAAGTGGAAAAGACGAGAGGCTCCGCAACTTAACGTTCGACCCGAGATAGCGAGATTAATAAAACTCATCATCTAGCTACAACGGTAAAGAAAAATCAATGAGATTATGAAAAACAACGGTCTGGACATTTTTTTACAATAATTGCAAAAAGGTACATATCAACCCAAATCCCTAGTCAAAGTTGCCTTTTGATGGCATGCAAATATTATCACGCAAGCAACATTAATCAAGCCGCCAATGGTGACACAACTCGAAGATTGTTAGACAAGTATACCGTGGACATAAATCTGTATGAAGCCAGAGACTTTGTTCAGATATGGTCTAATTTCGACAAAAAATCTTCGCAATCTTGGAGTTAAAAACTGTGAGTTCTTATCGGCACATCGCTCATATCGGCCATTTCATTTCATTTCGGTTGTAATAGATTCAATACTCAGCATGATAAGGCACATCGCCAACAACATCAATAAAGCGAAGAAAGCATTAGGAGTGGTACATTATGCGGCTGGTCAAAACATTCAATTAAAAAGTCTGTTACATTGGTAAGAGCCACAATATATATGGATTACATGTGTGTTGCCCAATTTCTAAAACTCAGTTTAGTAAAATGGACAAGGTGCTGAATCAATCTTTGACAATCATCAGTGGTGCTTCAAAAAAGACATCTCGTGAAGCATTGCAATTTTACTTGGGATTTCACAGCATGCAACATTACTATAAAATAAGGGCACGAAAAGAACTTGTTCGAGCTTTAACATGTGTCAGCCATAAACGATTTGTTAAGGGAGCATCCTTAAGTCAATGTAAGGCTTAAATAAAAATCATGCAACCATGGAGTAAATTTTCCGAGAAGATAATTGAAAAGGTTACTCTGAGCAATAATATCACGCCTGACATCTGGGTACCGCACATTAAAAAGAAATTGTGACTAGTGAAGGAATCATAGGGTTCACTTCTTGACAACATAAAGTCAACGTTACACAGGTTACGCTTATTGGCCATATTACGATAAGTCCTAAGTATGTATCAAACCGGTTAAAAGAATAATAAGTGATGAGGAAGAAAGAAAAACTCGGTGRACGCTAAACCGTTTGAAAGAACTTGGCCAGTTTTGGTGATGGAGCTAAATTTACAATAAGAAGGGCTGCAACTAAAATAACAACACAGCATGTCATGGGTATAATAACAAAAAAACACTCGCGAGGTTTTAGGGAGGGGATGGCCTGGGCGCTATATTCCATGAATGAAACAAAGACCGCTCATCTCGGAAACTATCTAAACACAAATCTCAATTATAACGTGAAACTGTATTATTACCTTTAATGGCTTTGATGCAACATCCAGTGGCTTGGCATCGAAGTCTGCCGTTTGYTTGCCGTCTGTAAGTATAAATGCAATGCGTGGAACTGTTGGTCTAGCATCCGTGAACACATTTTCAGCAACAGCCAACGCTTTATCAATCCTTGTATGTCCTTTTAAATGCTGCAGACCCTGAATTGCTGCGCTAACATTCCTGTTGTCCAGTTCATCTTCAAAACTAAATATTAGCTTTGGGTTATCATCATAAATTATAACGCTTGCTCTCGCCTGGTTTCGAGAGATATCAAATATGTTTGCTAGCTGTTTGACAAATTCTTTCTCTTTCCTATAATCATCCTTGCTTATGCTTCCAGATGAATCCATTACAAAAACAACATCAGCTTTTGTTGTTATGGTTACAGCTTTGTCTGAAATCAAGATTAAAGGGCATAAAAGKTTTTTCTTTTGGCAAAATCTTTAGAATCGAACATTGGCGTTTCAGTCAGGAGAAGAATGAGGATCACGTTAATAGGCAACGATATTCCACTTTAGTTTTCCGCATGCATAGTTGTTTAGGCCTGTCCCGCTTTCATTTTCCCTCGTGTTCATAGCCTTGCACTGGACCCCACATGAAAAAGAAAGTGGGATAGGCCTTAACAGCCTAGAAGAAGAACAATACCAGCTGAGATTAAAGCAGATGGGATGAAAGTAGAATACCGTTGAATCGGCAGGAATGGAGGGGCTTTGGTGTTGAACTACATTCCGTTGTGGAGTATAATGGACAGTAAGTAAGTAAGCAATCACTAAAATGCGTAACGCTCTCATTTTGGCAAGTGCGCACTTGCGTGTGAACACTACAACTCTGCAAGACTGTAAATTTTAAATCTGTTTACAAAATCAATTAACACAGCTGTTATTTTTTACATAGATTTATGATTAATGGGCAAAAATATATAGAAAAATTGCCAGTATGTGTGCAAATGCGTAGTTTATAAACATAAACTTATACCTGGAAATATGCAGACATTCCTGCAGCCAGTAAAACAACATTTCATATTGAGAGGACAGTCTTGATCACAAGAACATCGGTCCCACGTGTATACAGGGCAGTTCGGCTGCTTCTCATACAGTGCGCAACGTCCTGGACGTATTCCTTAAGAAGAAACAAAAAATAATTTGACACTGCATTTTGCGCATTATATTTTTGAGTGATTTCATGCAAAAGTCATCATGCGACAATTTAAAAAGGCTCCAGCTGATCTGAAATGTGACGTCATGATGACGTATTTTCAAAACTGAGTTGTCCTTGGGCCAACAGGACTGACCAGCGGTCTACCAAATTTAATTAAATGCATAAAAATCTATTCATATTATCTGTGTTTTTGTCTTGACTGTATCGAGGTCACTGACTTTTTTGTATTCAAAATGGTAACGTGAAACGAAAGCGAAGGGAAAATCACCCCAAGGACAAAGAAGAATAAACAATAAACTTTTCCCCGTCGAGCACGTAAGTCCGCCATTTTGAAAGCCAGGCTACCAAGGGTGACAATTCAGTTTTGCAAATTTTCTCGATTCTGATTGGCTAACATTTTTTCTCAGATCAGCTGG